TTACGGCCCTGGCTGCAAGCGCGGCGGCTGAAGGCAGATGTGCCATCAGTTTCAGTAGGATAAAGGTGTTAGGCATGCTGACTTAGAAATCCCACTGGAGTCAGCTGGACTTACTTCCAAGTAAATGCGTGTGTGTGTGTGTGGGGGGAGAGTAATGCTTCCACTTTAACGAGTTAAGGATCTGGTTGTAAAACACTCTTACAGCTGGCAACGGTGGGGACTAAACTGGCTTTAATCCAGTCTCCTTGGATTCCAGATCGGCCTATAAAGAAGTAATAGCGAATTTAAAGGGAGTACTTTCAAGCAGTCGCCATAATCGGGGGGGGGGGAGGGTAGTGAGAGACGAGGACAATGGATGCCCCTTCGAGCAGGCTGATCCGGCGCTTATTGTGGTAATCATCCGGGCGTCTCAAAAGTGGCCTGGAACCAACAGAACTGAGCTTGACTGGTATCGGAACCGGATATCTGAACAAAACTTTATATATATATAAAAAACGATATACATATATTTTAAAAAAGAAGGTTCCAAGAGTGCAAGGGGATCTGGGGTATCCTCAGACAAGGACATTTTGCGACTATCTCAGCAGTGCCTCTGGTAGAGCCAGCTGCGTCGTCTTTGCCACCTTTCCTGTGCAACGATTTAGAGCATTCTCTTGAGAGGCGCTGTCATGCCCTTGGGCCTTTTTCGGACCACCAAAGGCCAACAACTCTTGCTTCACATATTCAGTCCCGCTTTTGCTTACTTTATGCAGATGGTTTATCCTCACCCTTTTTTTGCCCGGAAGATGAGAGGTGCCATCATAACCATGTTTTGTTTTGCGTTCACGAATCCAATTAATCGCTTTCCTCCCAAGTCAACACTACCTCGTGTGTCATTCAGGCTTAGATCTGCAGGGGAACCGAGAGCGCACCAACCACATTTAACTGTGGTTTTAACTCGCTCTAATTTTGTACACGCTTCCCTTTGATCGTCAGCTCTATCATCACCTTTTGTACATTTCGCCTCAGGGCAACCACTGGAATTCCAGTTACTCATCCAGGGTAATTTACTATTGAATATTACCAAGATGTGCTTTCTCCAGGCCCACAGGCAGTGCAAGTCATTCAATGCACCTTCGCTGGGCTTTTCTTAAAAGCAGGCCCGCTTGTTATTCCTATTTATTTCGATGCAATGGGTTCTACCTCACATAGTTTTTGCTATATAAATAAAAGAAGGCCAAATTATGAGCTTGTGGACCTTTCTAAACCCAACACCCGGATGGAAGGAACGAAGGAAGGTATTCAGAGCGACGTTTGACGGGTATACCCGGAGGATGCCTTTGCAGCGTGTCGCTCCTGTTCACAGAGCTCAAGCCCCCGGTCGGCAGGGGCCCGGGCATCTTGTCTGCCCCCTCCCCCTGGTTCGCGCCACCCCAGCCCTTTACCTGGGTCTGCGTCAGTCCTAGCGAGGCCGCCAGCTCCGCTCTCTCGGGAAGCGCCAGGTACTGCGTCTGCTGGAAGCGGTGGTTTAACGCCTGCAGCTGGAGACTCGAATAGATGGTCCGAGGCTTCCGGATCTTCTTCCCCTTCCCGTTGAATCGGATCTCCCCGTTTTCGATGACCGTGGTTTTTTGCTGATCTGCAAGTGAAGGGGAAAGCACGTTGGCAAGGGAGACACTGGCGATTCTTGACCCTAGGGGATATTCCGCCGCCGCCGTCTACAGAACCTCAGGAAAGCGCTCTGAGGACGGGGAGGGCCAGGGAGAGGCCAGCGGCTCTCTCTATCGTGCAGGACTCGTTTTTATTCAAGCCTGCAAAACGATCCCAATTTGTTCTACTGACGGGGTTGCTGTTCCCAGAGGTGTCAGGCCGACGCCGTTAAATCGCCCCACGAGCAGCAGTCAGGTTTTTGCCCTAGAGAGAAACCGCGGCTATCTGCGGGGCTGATGCCGGAGAATTGTCTCCAGGTCTGTCCGTCATCTATCTGTAGCCATTATTGTTCTGCCGCGCGAACACGCCACGGGGCCCGGTTCAAACGCCTTCCTGAGCGCTCAGGCATCTCTGCAATGCAACGCATTCCCCGAAGGGTTGCAAGCCTATGTATTAATCGAAAGGATCTAAATGTGCCTCCATAAATAAAGACAAATTGGTGTCTAATTGTTTAGATGTATTTAGACAGATTTTTTGGTTTCCAGGGGTGGAGGGTGGGTTCATGTAGCCACGCAGGCATTCTCGCCGTGGCGTCTCTCCTTTGTTTCCTCCGAGATTTGTTAGCGATTAGCCGAAAAGAGAGACGAGGGGTGGGTGGATGGACGGACGGACGGACAGATGGGGTTGGGAGAGCATCTCCAGAACACCGCGGCCGAGTTACCGGGCGATGCATTGAACTGTGCAAGAAACACTTCCAGTCGCGCACCCGCTCTCCCTCTCCACACACCCTCCCCCCCCACAGGCACAGGCACAAATCTCCACTTTCTGACTCTTCCTGTCTCGGACGTTGCTGGTGTTCTAGCTCTGGCTGATCGTTTGGCTGAAGCAGCAGCAACGGAACCCGGCCTTGGTCCTCTCTCTTCCCCCGCCTGCCTGGCGCTGGGGCCACGGGGGGCGGGGGGGGGGGGGGGGGGGGGCGGGCGGCGGTTCGGGAGAAGAGGCGCGTTCTCCCCCGCCAGCCTCTTCGGCGCCCACAAAGGCAGCCCCGGGCCAAGCAAACGAGTAGCCTTTCCAAGGGACGGCTGGCGGGCAGAAGGCCTACAGGGCCTCGTCCAGCGCCTCTCGATCCGCCGCCCCTTCCACGCAGCCCCAGCCCAGCCCAGCCGGTGGAGGTGCCTTGGGGTGGACACGAGGCCAAGCACACCGGTCCAGGCGGGCTGCGCAGAGGCATGCGAGTGGAGCGGGCCTGGAAAGGCCAGGGGAGCAGGGAGGAGTGCCCTTTCCATGCACACGTCTCCTTGGGAGTAAGACCCATGGAAGTCAGCGGCTCTTCCAATAAGCATGCGGGGGATCGGGCTGAAGGAATGTCACGTCGAACCTAGGGACAAAGATTTTTTTTTTTTTTTAAACCAGCAGTGAAAAGTGGCGCTCTTGTGCCATCGAACATCGAAGTAAAACCCAAGGCATGGAGCTGACTTCCAAGTAAACTGGGAAGGGGGGGGGGGAAGAAAGAAAGAAAGAAAGAAAGAAAGAAAGAAAGAAAGAAAGAAAGAAAGAAAGAAAGAAA